TATATATACATACATATACATATATACATATTTATACACACATATAAGTGTGTGTGTGTGAATGGTGGGGCATCCATGATGTTGGCCTCTTCGTGGTTTCCTGGAGGACCTGTTGGGTAGCTTTTGGGCTGTATTGGAGTCCTCTTGGGGGCCTCAGGGGCCGACTTGGGCCATCCCGATGCCATCTTAGGCCGTCGTCGGTGCATCTTGGCTCGTCATGGAAGCATCTTGGAGCCAATTTAGCCGTTTTGGAGGCCATCGCGGCCGTCTTGGATGCATCTTGGAGGCCATATTGGGCTGTCTTGGAGCCATATGGAGAGAAATCCTTGGCAACCGGGTCCGGGCAATCCTCCCGGGACCCCGGCGGGACGGGCCGAAACCCCATGGGGCGCTTAGTTAGAAAAAGGAGCCAACAAACAAATCCGTAATTTTCCCAGTGCGACCCTGCATGGGAGTTGGATCCTCTAGGAAAGCAACACTCGTAGGAGCGGTAAGCGCCGTCCCCCTCCTTCTCCTCATCGTCGTAGTTGTAGCAGTAGAAGTCGCAGTAGTAGTAGTAGTAGTAGTAGTAGTAGTAGTAGTAGTAGTAGTAGTAGTAGTAGTAGTAGTAGTAGTAGTAGTAGTAGTAGTAGTAGTAGTAGTAGTAGTAGTAGTAGTAGTAGTAGTAGTAGTAGTAGTAGTAGTAGTAGTAGTAGTAGTAGTAGTAGTAGTAGTAGTAGTAGTAGTAGTAGTAGTAGTAGTAGTAGTAGTAGTAGTAGTAGTAGTTAGTAGTAGTAGTAGTCGTAGTAGTCGTAGTAGTCGTAGTCGTAGTCGTAGTCGTAGTCGTAGTAGTCGTAGTAGTCGTAGTCGTAGTCGTAGTCGTAGTAGTCGTAGTAGTAGTAGTAGTAGCAGCGCAGCAGCAGTAGTAGTAGTAGTAGTAGTATAGTAGTAGTAGTCGTAGTAGTAGTAGTAGTAGTAGCAGTACAGTAGTAGTAGTAGTAGTAGTAGTAGTAGTAGTAGTAGTAGTAGTAGTCGTAGTACTAGTAGTAGTAGTAGTAGTAGTAGTAGTAGTAGTGGTAGTGGTAGTGGTAGTGGTAGTAGTAGTAGCAGCAGCAGCAGTAGTAGTAGTAATAGTAGCAGTAGTAGTAGTAGTAGTAGTAGTAGTAGTAGTAGTAGTAGTAGTAGTAGTAGTAGTAGTAGTAGTAGTAGTAGTAGTAGTAGTAGTAGTAGTAGTAGTAGTAGTGGTAGTAGTAGTAGTAGTAGCGCCAGAACCGCCGACGCCACGCCGCAAGTGAAACGACAACAGAAGCAGGCAGCACGTCGCCGAGACAGCAGCAAGAGCAAGCAGGCACGGGGATGAGGGCGGGGCACTGGGGAGTTCCTTACATTTACACCGATATCTACACCTCAATCTACATCGACACCTACATCCACATGTAGACCTACATCTACATCCGCACCTACAGCTACATCTACATCTACACCTGCATCGACATCTGCATCTACACCAACAGCGAGACATACATCTACATCTACATCTACATCTACATCTACACCTACACCTACACCTACATATTCACCTACATCCACATCTACACCTGCACCTACATCTACATCTACGTCTGCACTTTCGCATTGGTGTTGCGTTTACTGTGCATTGCCTTTGCTTTTGCTCTTGCCTGTGCTTTTGCCTTTGCTTTCGCTTTTGCCTTTGCCTTTGCTTTACGCGGTGCTGAACAAATACATACACACACGCACGCACACACACACATGCAGCATTCCACATGGGTGATATGTAGATATACACGTACATGTGCATATCTACAAAGACATTTAGGACATGCGATAACACGCCGGGTGTCATGTCCCCCGGCCGGTGCTGTGTGCGAAACCTTCGTGCATCCTAAGGGCTCAGGCTGCCCCACTAAGGGCTCAAGATGGCCCACCGGCGGACAACATGCATGGACCATACGTGCGCACACACAGATAAGTATATCTCTCTATACATGTATATATATACATATCAGCAGCAATCGTGGATGTTGTGCTGCGCTATGCTATGCTATGCTATGCTATGCTAATGCTAATGCTATGCTATGCTATGCTATGCTATGCTATGCTATGCTATGCTATGCTGCGCAATGCTATACTGGGCTATGCTAGGCTATGCTATGCTATGCTGTGCTATGCTGCGCCTTGCTATGCTGCACTATGCTATTGTATGTTCTGCTATGATGTTGCATTGCCTTCGCTTTTGCCTTCACGTTTGCCTTTGCTTTTGCTTTTGCGTGGCACCCAGGGAGCGCAACTGGGGGAGCCGCGCGTTTGCTTTTACCTTTGCTGCTGCTTTCGCTTGGCTCCCAGGGGGCTGGGGGAACCGCCCGGGGCGGGTTAACACTGCCCGGCCCATTTGGTTTTGCAGAGTAAGAACCCTTCTAGGCAGAGCCTAGGTAAGGAATAGTCGAGCACGCCAGGCACCCCTGCAATGAATCGACACGGGGCGGCGGATCTAGCGGCCTGCGGCCCATCCCGCCACCGTGCCTGGGCTGTGGTGCAGAAGTCTCCCGGATGTTCGTTGGGATATCGTGAAAAGACTGGGGCCTGCCCGAGGCAGCTTGGAGGCATCTTGGGGGCTATTTCGGGTTTTTTGGGGGGCCTGTTGGGGGTCTCTTGGAGGCCTCGTGGAGCCCCTTGCGGGCCTCTTGGGGCATCGCGGGGGCCTCTTGGGGCGGAAAGCTAGGATTTTCGGTTCGTGGTTCCCTTTTCGCGCCCCTGTTGGGGCCCTCTTGGAGGCCTCCTTGGCTGTCTTGAGGCCCTGTTGGGCCGTGTTCGGGCCTTCTTGGGCCTTTTGGGAGTCCTCTTGGGCCGTTTTGGAGCAGTCTCGGGAGCTTCTTAGGCCGTTATCGATCGTTGGAAGCCCGAAAAGAAGAGAAGGCCTAATACTTTTGAGTTTGCACATTAAACGATTTGGCCCTCTTGGGGCCCTCGTGGAAGGTCTCTTCGACGCCTCTTGGGGCGTCTTGGAGACATTGAGGGCCGTCTGGAGGCCATTTGGGGTCTTCGTGGCCCGTTTTGAAGCCCTCGATGCCCCCCCGGCCCAATTTCTTGAGCAAAGCGACCCCCCGGCTGGCCTTGGTAGACTCCCCCCATCCAAGTCGAACAGATCCTTCTCACGGGGGAGGGGTTTGGGGAGGTGGAAGCATCTCACATGCCGATGAGAACCCTAAGGGGTCGGCGGGTTTTCGTTCGTCGTCGTCGTTCGTTCGTGCGTCGTTCGTCCCCTCTTCCCCCCCATCTGGCACGCGTGCCACTTGTTCCCAGGCGGTGCTGGGTGTTGGTCGGGGGAGGGGGGGTTCGGGCGAGTGCTAACGGGGGGTGGCCCGCCCAACGGAAGGGGTGAAGAAACGGGCCCTCTGAAGGAGCACTCTGGGGCCTCTTTTGGGACCCCCTCGCTGGGTCCAAAAGGAGCCCTACAGGGCCCCTCAACCCCCCATTTAGCGCCCGGGGAGGGGAGGAGGAGGAGGAGGAGGAGGAGGAGGAGGAGGAGGAGGAGGAGGCACGTCTCGTTCCGGCGCCGTCTGGGAATTTCTCTGGGATGGCCAGGGAGGCAGGTCGGAGGTCAGCACCAGCCGAGGCGTCGCCTGGGGGCCTCGGGGGGGGGCGGGCCGGGGCTGGCAGCGGCCGTCAGCGCGAAGCGTACGGTCTGACTTCCGTATCTTTGATCCGACCCCCATCCCCATCCCCATCCCCTTCGAGATCGGGGGACGAAGTCTATACATATCCACTGCTCCCTGGCCAGGCCCATCCTGAACCCAGGAGCTGTGCATACGCCCTCCTGGCCACGCCAGGAGGGCGCAGCGTATACACAGCTGCTGTGTTCAGGATGGGCCTGGCCAGGGAGCAGTGGATATGTATAGATTGCGTCGCCCTATCGAGACCCCCACCAAATTACCCCCCCAGTTGGGGATACGCCCCTCGAAGCCCGAAGGGAGCGACCTATATCCCCATCCAGGGGGGTACATCGGCCAGTGGGGCCCAGGCTACGCCGCTGGGGATGGGGATCTGTTAAGCGATACTCAGGACCGAGGTGTAAGGTCGAGGTCGGTTCGGGGAATGTATCCTAAAGTCCTTCGTATTCGTGGGATGTTCTTGTGCATCCTGGAGAAGGTACGCACCCTCAGGTGCTCTGCTTGTTTTGGCCGGCGGAGGATTTCGGGCCTCCTGTTCTTGAGGGGTGCTCTTCTGGGTATATCAGAACGATCTCCTGGCGACTTCTGATAAGGCTTACGAGGGGCCGTCAGGCCTCGCTGAGCAGGTCCCCGGGGACTGCCGCACCTGCGGGTGGCGTCGCGCCTCTCCAAAGTGCTTTCCTGGAGTCCACTTCGGGCATCGCTCCTTCTCGGCCATTTCGGACGCGAGTGACTGGGGGGGCGACAATATGTTGGAGGAAGGAGGGTACACTTTTCGGACCCGAAAGGCCTCCTTTGGGGCGAGAGATTGCCCCTGTAAGGGGCCCTGCAGGGCCCCCTTTCTGCAGCCTTTGCTGCACCCCCTTTAATCGCGGTCCAACACTTGTCCAGGACAGGCAGCCCTGAGGGCGTCCGCGCGAAGCCCGTCTGGCATCCGTGCAGTCGGAGGCACTCCGCGACGCATCTCTGGGGCCATCCACAGACCTCCCCAAAGATAATGATGTTCCACTCGACTGTCTAGCTTTGATCACCAGCAAGAATTTCGGGCACCAGGAGAATACCGAATCTCGAGGGGTTTCCACGCGTCGGGCCCTGGGAGGCGATACTCGTTCGTTGTTTCGACACTGTTCTGGGCGCTCGGAGCTATTTCTGGGACGTGGTCTTTAACACCCCCAGACCTCCCCAAGGAGGCAGAACGCTCACGTGGGGCCCACTTGGGGCTCACGGGGCGGGGGCTCTGGCTTTCGGGCGGCTGCTCGGGTCTGGGTTCGGGGAGCCACGTCGTGGTCGAGGCTCGATGCGGCCTGAAGAGCTCCTCCACTCCTCGTCCAGTGATCATTCCGTTGGCACTGCTCGAAGAAGAGAAAACGCAACACACATAAACTTTTGGCGCTCCGCGCGGATTTCTTGGATCCGCGCCTGGGCCCGCACCAGGGGGCGGCGGCAGGTGCGCCAGGGGCGGCGCCGGAGTGCCGTCCCCTCCAGCTGCGTAGAGTGCCTCACGCACGCCAATCTCGGCTTGGGGAACACCGAAGACGAATGCATGTTTTTCTGCCTCCTCGCGCGCTTTACTTTGAGCCCTACTGGTGCTCGGGTCGCCGGCATCCAACAGGTCTTTGTGCAGTGCCAGTTCTCTGCCACGTCCCCGCCCTCGTTCGGAGCTCTTCCCCTCGCTTCTCTGCTTCCCGCTCCGGCTAGTTCCGCGCTCGTGCAGGACATGTGGTTCTACGGGCGGCCCGCCTTTTGAAGTGGTCCGTTCTGCGGTCATTGCGCCCCTCATATACGCGATCCTTGGGACTGCCCCCAGGAGATCTTTGATCATGGGCCAGCAGCGATGCCAGTGTAAAGCAGCAGGGATGATATAGGCGATGCTGAGGGCCGCCCCCATGGCATTTTTGAAGCACATATTCCTGTGTACCAGGCCGTGGGCCAGCGGCGATGCTAGGATAAAACAGCAGAGATGAGAAAGGCG